AAAAAAAAGCTAAACAGAATTTCCACATGGTCCAGAAATTCCACTCAGAGCACATACTCAGACCAATCGAAAGCAGGGGCTTGAGCGAATCCTCCCACATCCATTGTCTTTCCAGCTCTACTCACAACAGAGGAGGAAACATCAGCAGAGAGTGACTGACAAAATGTGGTAGATCACCACGATGCGGTATTATTCAGCCATAAACAGCCATGAAACTGCCCGGCCGGCGTGGCTCGGTGGTTGAGCAGCGACCTAGGATCCAGAAGATCAAGATTCGATTCCCGGTCAGGGCACAGGCCCGGGTTGCGGGCTCCATCCCCAGCCGGGGGCGTGCAGGAGGCAGCCGATCAATGACTCTCATCATTGATGTTTCTCTCTCTCTCCCTTTCCCTTCCTCTCTCTGAAATCAATAAAGATATATATATTTTTTAAAAAACAATGAAAGTGATACATCCTATCACATGGATGAACCTTGAAAACATTGCACTAAGTGAAATAAGACCTCAAAGACCTCGTATTGTAAGATTCCATTTATACAGGAAAATTCATAGAGACAGTGGATTTGAGGTTACCAGTGACTGGGGGAGTTTCTTGGGGTTATTCAAGCCTTTTGGAAATTGATAGTGGTGGTGGTTGCACAGCATTGTGAATGTGAGTCATGCCACCGTCAGAAGGGGCTCGCTGTTTTCCCTGATCCTGCACGGGTATTAACATGGCGTGGGTTCTCACTGGGTGCACCAAAGCAAAAATTGGGTATCTTGACGGGCTCCCTCACTCCTCCCTGGCCGTTGTTTCACGGGACTTACTACCCCTGTTCCTGGTCTTCTCTCTGACAACTGCGAGGACACCCGAAATGCCCCACCTGGGAGTGACCTTCACCCTGAGAAACCAGTGACCTCTTAGAAGGTCAATTTTCTGATTTCCATGAAATGGCCCCTGGCAATGACATTTCACCTGGGGCTCCTCTCCTGGGAGTGAAGGTTCATAGACTCTTTCCCCTTTCATCCCACACCTGCTCAAGCAGGAGACGTCATGGGGGAAAAAAAAGCAGTGTAGCCCCGGCTGCGTGGCTCGGTTGGCTGGAGCGCCATCTAGCGATGAGGCGGAACAGAGCACGGTGGATGGTGGCGCTCGCCCGGCCGAGAGCTCGAACTGAGGTCCCGTGTCCACCGATCCCTGTGGAAAACCCAGTCTTTACTCATCTCTATTATCTTCCCCAGGTCTCTGTTCTACTCCGCGGCACTGTTGTGAGAAAAATAGATAGATGTAGAGATAGATACAGAGATAAAGCTAGAAATAGACAGCTACAAAGAGGGCTCTGCGCATGTCTGAATTTCACAGCCCGAGTTGATGGTTTGAAGTCGTTTGTAAGATTCGTAGCTCACGTGCGCCCTCTGCTGTCTAGGTAGTTGGAGGGCAGTTTGTTTCAAGGATCCCTTTTTGTTGGAAGGGTGCCTTCGGGCGGGAAGGTTTGTTTCCTTCCATTTTTTGGTTTTATCTTATTTTGTAATACCCTAAAGTGTCTCCCTCCTTTTTCTCCTCCCCAGCCAGCCTCCGAAGGGGATCTTTCCCTTCCGTTTACCCTTTTCTCTTTGCAGTTCTACCAGTTTCTGCTTTATAGATTTTAAAATCAAGGTGTCAGACAGACACACTGGCAGACAGACACACAGAGGTCAATGCCCTGAGACAGAATTGTGTTTGGTGCATTGGAGGCAAAGCAGGGAGGGACACTTGGGTTGAGTGAGGGATGGGGAACATCAGAGATCAGATCCAGTAGGGGCTTTGGCATTTTCCCTAAGTGTCACAGAAGGCTGTCGGGGATTCTCATCATAGCAGCAATGTGATCTCGCTCTAGCTACAGTGTGGAGAGAATGAAGGGGAGGCAAAGGTAAACGGGG